GCAAATGCTTTCGTTCTTCCAAAAATATCTGGAAATCTTCCTTCAGTGCCCCTTAGTTCTAATCTCACTTCTTGCTTGCCCAATCTTCTTTTAGCCGATGCTCATCTTTTCAATTGTAGACCTGTAGATTTGTTGTTAGGGGCAGATTTGTATCCACAGATCTTGAAGGAAGGGACGCAACGAAATGTTTTGGGTTCCCTTTTAGCCCAAAACACGATATTCGGCTGGATTCTGACTGGTCATATGCCTTCGTCCTCAGTCCAGGTCTTTAGGACTGCGCTGGATTTTGCTGAGGATGAATCTCGCCACAGAACACTACTCCGACTTTGGGGACTTCCATATGTTCCCAAATTGAAGCATCCTTCGCCGTCGGACATGTTCTGTGAGAGGAATTATCGTCGTTGCGTCCGATCAAAATTTATCTAATTTTCGTAATTCTCGCTGGCCTATATTTTCGTTGCTAGATCAGCCTTTCTTTGCTTTCAAACAGTGCACTCCTCCCCAAAGCTTTCAGTATCTAACGCTGTCATACATTGTACGTCAATCAACTTGCCGTTTTTATGCCAACTTGTTTGTATTCTTGCAGAATTCGTTCACGCGATTTCCATTCATGGTGGAAATCAGCCTCGTAGCCTTCTTATCGATATTTGGTTCTCTAAAATTATGGGTTTTGTTATCAATCGTTTAATCTTCTTGAGATTTCTTGATTGCTCTTTTTCGAAAAAAAAATATTTACTCGAACCCTTCGATATAAAGTTGTATACGAATTCAGCGTGTCGTATCGTCAAAGGTTTGTGTATGTCTTCGTCTGCTTTTCAGTCAAAGCAGTTTCTTAGAAGTCATTTCTCCCTTGTGCTCTGCTTCATTTTGGCTGCTCTTTATCGTTTTTGATTGTCGTATTTACCATAGGACAGAATTTGTTTAATTCGTGCTGAAGCCTGCTTAACTTCTAGATACTTCTTTCAATACGGTTCAACTTACATCTATCTAGTCGCTCTTCCTCGTTCGCCACCTTAACCATTAATAGTCGATTTCCCTCTAAGTCTTATCAATAGACTTCTCTAGTTAGAATTTGTTATATTTACTTCAATTCCACAATAGAAAAAAAATCGAAATATACTTAGCTAATATGCAATTTCAATAATTCGTTGTGCTCTGTCATGAGCAATCACTTAGGTCCAACAAGAATTGTTCGTCGACCAGAGACTAAATTAGTTGTAAATAGTAAAGAATAACTTCATCGTGTATTCTTTTTGTCAAAATAGTCGAAAAATAGATAATCTCAAATTGAATTATATCCGCTCCTGCTCAATAAAACTGAACTACTATACCTATCGATGCATTTAATTCACAATGCAATTACTAACCATAGTTTAAGTCGCGTACTAATTTAATATCGGTTGCCACGCAGCTAGCGCGGCAAGGTGGGCGGCAATGTTTAAGTTCGATACATTGCTTACGGCAATGTATATGTTCGATACATTGTTTCCCCTTCTACAGCATTACAATTAACCACTTTAATTGGCCGCTCTTCGGAGCCCAATGGGGAAATCTTCTCTGCATATCTTCCAGGAGCCTCATTCGCCTAGTTCGGATTGTAGGGGAGAGTTCGCTCTCTTCTACTATATCTCCTGGAAGCCACATTCGCTTAGTTCGGATGCAGAGAGGCGCTTTCCAATGCTGTGGTCGTAGTTGTTGATCACGGCCTTGCTGTAGCTTTCTTGCCCATCGCAACATCACTTGCTTTTTAACTCTCGTTGATTAAACTTGCTTTCGAACTCTCGTAGAGTAAACTCTTGCATTCTCGTTCTCGTAGAATAAACATCTCTCGCTATCGTCGTTAACGCACGTTAAGGTAAAGTCTTGTTTCTCACGAAACCCATTAACTTTACAATAAAGATTGAAAATATTTACATAAACATTCTATCGTTTTTCTTTTCTTTATTTTTGGGGTTTCACTGCTACACGGTATCACGCCAACAATTATTGAAATAGCCAATATTTAAATAAAATCCACATATAAACATAACCAGTGACGAAGAAGTATAGTCGGACGGGGCCGACCATATGATACCCTACACAACTTGCACGAAAATCTAACTTTTTGTGGTTCTATATTCCGAGCTTGGACAATATTTCGCGATATTGGAACCCTTTTGACCGACTAGAGGTCAACTTATATTACTAATGTTCAGAACAGCCCTTCTAATTACTTGTGTAGGTTCCCTTCACCGTGGGTTGTGTTGTGATGTTCGGTTTTAAATTGAAACTGATCCTCACCGAAAAATATAAGCGTTGTCCTTGACCATAACTGGACCCTCATGGAAAATTTCAATGCGATCAGCACTATATTTCCGCACTCTAGAGTGGTAATGGGTTACTAAATAATATCTGAATACGTAAACACCTGTAAATATTTAAGTGTAACTCCCGCATGCGAGTACATATGAAAATACAATTGGTATATATTAAAAGGTCAACCACTCCTCTTGAATATTCTATCAACTTCTCGAGTCTATGTCCTTCAGGGGTAAATATATTCGCCTTATAATTCAAATTTTGTCATATTTCACACAAAAGTCAGGGTCAATTTGGCCCGCTAAATATTGACCCATTTTTATCAAAACATGCTTGCATATTCTTTGGCCCGATTCCCTTCTCCATGTTAAAATTCGCGATGTTTGGGCCATAATTGCGGCCTCTGGAGCGACCAGAAAATCAAATGTAAGTATTTGGGCCATTTCGTCCCCTAAGTAGTAACCGATCTTCCCCAAAAACAATAGGGGTCTTCATTGGCCAGAACCCATCCTACATGCAAAATTTCGTGAAGATTGGTCCATAACTGTGACCTGTATCGTGTTTACAAATTATAATGGACGGACGGACGGACACACATGTCTTGATCGACTCAGCTAGTCGAGATATGACGATCGGTATACTTAAATGTGGGTCTAGGACCAATATTTCACGGCGTTACAAACTCTTGGGGCTGCACAAAGCTATAATACCCTGACAACATAGTTGTGTAGCGTATAATTATTGTTAAATAAAAACAATTGCAATCTCACTGTGAAAAGTATCCCCCGGAATTATTTACAACTGAATAACGGTTAAAAGTCATGGAATATCAAGTTAAATATTGCATTCGAGGTGTTGCAAACGGAATGACAAATTTATTATACGTTCCACATTATATTGCGCAAGGACATTTGAAATGTTGACAATTGTGGTATAAGACTGAGAAGAGAGAATACTGATGATATTAGCATATGGTTCGGTTTATTTTAAGGGATTTTTACTGATGTTTTAGCATAAAATTGTTCCAAAATTGCTAAATTTTAGACAAACACAACTTCGCATAGACATCGTTTAGGTGCTGAAGAACATCGTTTACAATGATTCAGAATATTCCAAAAAGGTAATACCTGACGACGAATTATCTGTGTGTGCCTTAACATTGAAACCAAAACCATATCATTCAAATGAAAAAGCAAATCGAATTCGGTAAAATGTGAAGTTTTGGATCACTGTATTCTTCGACTGCAATAAGGTGGTGCGCCAATGTTTGAGTGTGAGTTTTTGAAAAAAAACAACAGTTTCAAGCCTCAACTACGGTATTCACCGGACTTCGCCCCATTGACTTTTTCGTCTTTGAAGGAAAAAACGCTGGTATAGGTGCATTATGTCTGACGCGGATTGCTTTACTAAATATAAATACGGCGGCGAATGGGGATTTAACTTTGGTGCAAACTTTGTTCAGCATATTTGAAATATAATAAAATATCCTTCGATAGTACCTAAAAGGGTTGATGCCATAGAACCATCAATGTCGACAAATTTCAGGAAATTTAATTAAAAAATCAACAAATATTTTGAGGAGTTGCAAGCGGCATCACAAACGGTCGGATATGACTGGCTATAATTCGAATAGCATGAAATGAATTATTTTGATTGAATTGAATATGTCGAATTGAACATTTTAATAATTTCAAGCATAGGTTTTTTTCCATATTGACATGTATCTCGCTTAGAATACAAGTAAAAGCATAATAAATCCACTATTTTTTCCAAAAAATTTAAACATTTCATTAATATCACAACTCTCTTTTGACAAAGAAGCATCCCTTCCAAGGAATAAACACCACCACAAGCACCATTGCTTGGCTGTGTTTTGTTTTGGTATCGTACTACGTCTCTCCCCTTACTTGGTTGTTATAATTTTTGCAATCGTTTATTTCACTACTGCTTCTGTTGCCAACAACCGCCGATTTTTCACTCACTCGATTGTGACTAGTTTTGAATTCCATTGTTTTTTTATTTCACTCTTACTGCATTGGCGTTACAAAATTCTCATATGCATTTTACAAATTATTTCGATATAAATGCTAAGAAGTGAAAACGGCGTTAAGTTCGGCGGGCCCTCCCTCCACCATATTTATACTGTTAGTAACTTGAAATGAAAATATGGGGAACATACCAACAAGTATACATATGGGCACTTCCGCAGTCACTTACACGAGTTTGGTATCGAGGAGAGTTTTGTTACCTATTAATACTAAAATACAGCCAATTCGGTGGAAAAATATGATCAAAAGCCCCCAAAATACTGAAAATTAGGTGGTATCGTTATATGGGGGCTACCAGAAAAAGTGGACCTATATTTATAATCTTTTGTGGAAAAATTTGGTACCCAATAAGAACCCAAGGTTGCAAATTTCAGCGAATTCGGTTGAAAAACGTGCTCAAGAACCCCAAAATACCGAAAACTGGGGGTACCCTTATATGGGAGCTATGCCTAAACGTGGACCGACTTCGAACTTGACCTGCCTGCAGACAAAAGACTACCCTATGCACCCCCTCTCTCTCTCTCTCTCTCCCTGACCAGAAACCAGTATTTTAATAAACTAAAAAAAATATTTTTCTTTCACAGATACGTTTTTCTTCAATATTTTTATTGACTGTATATAAACAATAACAAAAATCTTGTCACATTTTCTCAATAAAAAAATTACTGTTGAATTACTTCAAATTTCAAACCCGATTTATGTTTACCAACTTCTTCCAGAAGACTTGTCTTGGCAAATGCAAATCCTGGTGGCAGAACTCCGCCCCTGCAATGAAACACACACACATCACCATTTAACGTAAAAATAAATTCCAATATTATTTTGATAACTTACTTTCCGGGCATTTTGTTGTGTTCCTTCAAAATGGTTTTGGCACATAACAACAAAACGCAACTGGTAATACCATAGCATGGATCCTTGCCCGTAACACGGACCACAACTTCTTTGTTGGGTGCAGCAGATTCGGAAGTACCGGTAGTCCATCCTTTTGCCTTTAAGGTATAACGGAATTCCATAGCTTTCCTGTTGGCTTCCGTTGGTCCTTCATGTGTCATTAGGCCCAAGGTGAAGATGTGAGGATATTTTAAAAGTAATTTACGTGTAAAACCAATATTGGCCATAATAACACCGAATAACATGAAAACTGGAAATAGCAAGGCCATCAGCAAGGATCTAACGAAGAAGAAATTGAAAAGTAAATGTTTGATATGAGTGAAATTCTTCATAAATCAGTGATTGGACTTACTTCATGCCAATATATATTTCAAATTGAATTGGTCGTTTCTTATCATAGGCATAGGCCAATCGCTGAGACCTTTGAACAACACCACGGTCAGTAACTGGAAATGGTGCAAAATAACTCCTAAGGCCTTCGGTTTGATGGGCATAAGGTCTAGAAGGGATTTGAAATGGAAATGAAATAAAAATAAAATAACAATTCAGGGCAACATTGCAAGATACTTCCGAAGACCTTCTGATGGAACACTCGCGAAACTAGTAAACAATCAGCTTTCTTACCTCATCCATAATTTAGGACTCAAACTTGGAATTTTCTCAGTGTTAACTTTTTTCTCCAATGCCAACATTTCTTTAGCATGTTGCATAGCATAGATGGCACTTTCCCAAGTTCCGGTGTGCAAAATAGCTTTAGATGATTTATCTTGGTAATTTGGCTTGGATTCCCAATATAGTTCGACAGAATTTACGGTTCCTGAAAGTAATGTGAAAAGAGACATTTGTAAAAAGAAATTAAAACGACCGCTATAGACGTCCTGAAGGAAGTCTTTAAAGACGTCCTGAAGGGATTCTTTAAAGACGTCCTGAAGGGAGTCTTTAAAGACGTCCTGAAGGGAGTCTTTAAAGACGTCCAAAAGGGAGTCTTTAAAGACGTCCAAAAGGGAGTCTTTAAAGACGTCCAAAAGGGAGTCTTTATAGACGAGCTGAGGGGAGTCTTTATAGACGAGCTGAAGGGAGTCTTTATAGACGAGCTGAAGGGAGTCTTTATAGACGAGCTGAAGGGAGTCTTTATAGACCATTCAGCTAGTCTAGTCGAGACAAGTCGTTACAGTTGAATCGAGCCAAAGGACTGCTATACTTTAGAACCCCCTACCTGGAAAATTCTTTTCCGCATATTGAACACCCAACTCAGCTGGGATGCTCTCAAAGCCGCATGTCGAGACTATGTACGATCCATTTTGTTGTGCCAAGTCATTATATTTAAGTTGCATTCCATTAAAATATTGTGGTTCGCCACTGACGTCCACGTGATGGGTTCCAGCATCGATGCACGCCTTAACTACAACCTCACCATAGAAACGGTAAGGTCCACAACAGTTCAAAACAATCTGTAATACAGAAATAAAAACACAAAACAATTATTGATAATTTATCATCCAATGTATTGGAGCGGTTAATTATATGTAAAAACCATATATTTTATAATAAGAAGTTAAAATCATGGTCAATAATAACAGTACAACTAATTGGAGCAATTACAAGATTTTTAAACAAAAAAGTTTCATTGGATTGTAAAACAAGAATTTATAAGTGGATAATAAACAGTTACTGTGTATCTATATTTAATTTTGATGGAAATTGCACCAATCTAGAAGGATCCCAGTCAATCTAAATTAACAACCCACACTCTCAAATTGTTTGTTGGGTTGGTAAAAATTAACGAATTCCTGGAAAATGTATTTGAGTAACTGTTTATAGACGGAAGGCATTCATCCAGTGTTTTAGACATTCGATCGATCCGAGGAGCGAATATCGATTCGGACCATTACCTTGTGACAGCCATATATTCTGTGACTTCGACGTATCGAGTTGCAGCGACTATGTTGGCTAGGCCATGTTGTGAGAATGGACGAATATGTCCCAGCTCAAAAGGCATATAAAAGTGAGCCAAGTAATGGCCCACGCAGAAGGGGAAGGCCACGAATCCGATGGATGAATCAATATGTAAATCATATCCCCAACTCGATTTTGAAAAAAAAACCTAACATTCCGTTCATTTTTCACTTTTTTTTGGTAATAAAAATATGTCAAATGAACAGGACGACTTGATGCATTTGTTTTCATTTATTCTCATATTATTGCCCATAAGGTAGAGGTGTATTTTCTTCTTTCTGACAAAAGCTACCCTACCTTGTATAATTGTACCATAGATACCCCAATATATTAAACAATATAATATAACAGCCTTACATTCAGGAAATTTGAAATTTCGAATCGAAACTGAAAATACGTGGATTAATTTAATAAAATTTCAATTTTGTTTTGCGGTTTGCATACTTGCTTGAAGATATGGATTCGACGTATTTGGGTAGTACGGCCGTACACAAAATTTTGCCATAGTGGGGAATATTTTTGTACGCCCCGTCGGATTTTAGGTAACGTTGTAATAAGCCTAAATAATTTTTAAAATATTATTTAGGCTTATTGAAATTATTATAAGATTGAAATTCGATACAATATTTTTGAAAAAAGTTATGCGGCATTAATTAAATGCAATTTTAGTTGCTTTAGTTTTGGCCATCAGTATATATACACAGATTTCTTTTGATCAGTGATTTATTGTGCAATTTGGCGCAGCATACTTTCCCCTTAATATCATTCCACTAAAAGCAAGGGTTAGTGGTTAGTTAAAATGGACCCAAGTCGAAAACAATTATTTTCTGTTTATATATACCCATTATATATAAAGATGTCCTTTATTCCACGGCCTAAAGGGGAATTTGGTACAGAATATTTTTTTCATTTACGTCACTCCGCTAAAATGAAGGGTTATGGATCAAAATGAACCCAACTCAAAAATATTGTGAATTAGAGTAACTTCGGGTAATGTGGACTATGCGTCTAATGTGGACCACCCCCCATATCTAAGAAAATGCTTGAAATATGTCAATGCTGCTTTGATAAAAATGTTTTCCTAATTAGTGAAAACAAACATCAACCTTGCTTTTTAATAAATAATTGCAATGTTGAAAGCGTAGTAGTAGAAATTGTAGCTCTGATTGTAACATTTTTTTACCACAACACTTTGTTTTTTCCCGAATAAAAAATATACGTTTAGCTGCAATTACAATCGGTGATTTTTAATTTTTATTCATTTTTGAAGACGATAAATTTTTATACCCTCCACCATAGTATGGAGGGTATATTAATTTTGTCATTCCGTTTGTAACTCATCGAAACATTCATTTCCGACCCTATAAAGTATATATATACTTGATCAGGGTAAAATTCTAAGACGATCTAGCCATGTCCGTCCGTCTGTTGTAATCACGCTATCTTCTGAAGGAATTGAGAATTGCTGAAATTTTGCATAGGGTTGTCTTTTGTCTGCAGGCAGGTCAAGTTCGAAGATGGGATATATCGGTCCACGTTTAGGTATAGCTCCCATATAAAGGTACCCCCAATTTTCGGTATTTTGGGGTTATTGACCGCGTTTTTCAACCGAATTCGCTGAAATTTGGTTCGTTGGGTTCTTATAGTGTACTAAATGTATCCACAAAAAATCTTGAATATAGGTCCATTTTTTCGGGTAGCCCCCATATAAGAGTACCCCCAATATTCGGTATTTTGGGGTTCTTGAGCGCGTTTTTCAACCAAATTCGCTGCAATTTTGTATTTTGTAGTCGTATATGGTAACAAATCTCCCTATTTTTTCCTACATTTTCATTTCAACTACCTTTTAGTATATTTATGGTGGAGGGTATCCAAAGTTCGGCCCGGCAGAACTTAACGCTTTTTCACATGTTTTAAATAAAAATATTCAATGTCGGGTAATGTGGACCACTATAAAAAGTAGGACCTTTTCACGAGGACGAGTTCGAAATATGGGCGCATTTAATATGCGAGGAGGTATTCTATCTTCTGAAAACTCGATATGCAAAATTACAAGTGCTTCGGTTGGATAATGAAGCAAGGACCTTCAAAATACCGCAAATGGGGCGGTACCCTTAAATTGGGGCTATTCCAAAACATAAACCCATATAGTTTTGCATTCATTGTTACCCAAGAGTGGAATAAATTGAAATTTATCACAACCAAACCACTACCTACCTTTAACATACTGATCCTCATTACCCATACTTACTGGTCCACTTTACCCGCCAAGTTATTTTTATTCGCAGTTTAGAGTTTTTTGAAATAATGTTAGACCTGGAATATATTTAGCCAACAAATCTATGTTGTGAAAACAATTTGTTTTTATTTTTTATCGTTGAAAACCTTACTCGAAGTTACTCTAAGTCAAAAATAAATATTTAATAATTTCGAACACACATTTTCTTGATATGTAATATATATACAGATTTCTTTTGGTCGCTGACTTATAGTGAAATTTAATGTAGATTATTTTTTCTTTGATATCAAGTAGACTGTGAATATAGCCCAAAAAATATATAATAATGTCAGTTAATGTTGCCAAATTCAGACCCATATTTTTTGATATATATTACATATTGGGCGGTGATCCATAGTGAAATTTAGTCTAGAATATTTTTTTCCATTGACACCAATCCCCTAAATGTAAGGGTTAGGGGTCAAAATGAACCTAACTCAAAGATATAATGAAAATACTACAATTGCGTTCAATTGATCATAGCAATAATAAAAGTATTTTTATCGGTTTCAAAACACTGTGCCTACATACATTCTTAAAGGTAATGATGTGGATTATCAACAAACCTTGCACTTTTTCGCCATATTTTCAATTGATTTTTGATCGCTAACATCGGCCACAATAATGGGAATATGACTCAAATCTTGTTGGGTACGTTTGCCGACTTTCACCAAAAGCTCTTTCAGTTTAGACTGCAGAGAAAGGGAAAGAGAATTATTTTACACGCCACCATATTGAAATTTTCATTTGATTTTTACTTCATTTCTTCCTGCAATACCCCATTTGAAATCCCTAAATATATCGACGGCATCTTCGACCACCACTTGACCGGTAAAACCGGTGGCACCTGAATATTATTGCGTCCAACTTTTCAACACTCATTGTTTTATGAACTCGTCGCGTCGCGTCTAACCACCCAAACTGAAATCGGGTTGTTGTTATCAAACGGAGAGTAAGAAAATAACTAAAATTTCTGTTGGTCGTCTATTGTTG